TTATGGTACAATGAACATAAAATAAATAATTTAAAAATATTTCAAAGTAAAAATTAAAGTTTTTAGTCAAATAATGAAACACGAAAAAAATACACAATGAATAAAAAAAACTTGCAAAAAATGTGTTCTTTTTATTAAAAAAATCAAGTTTATGGTCACAATGTAAAGAACGTTAAAGTTGAATTTTTTCTCAAATTCAGTTGATTATTATTATTACGTTGCACTCAATGGCTTTTTATAAAAAAAATCATACAAGATTTATCTCAGCATTTTTAAATACTGTCATATTTAAACATTTTCAACTTATTCACCATTTTCACTTTTCACCAAATAACATTAAAAGCACTAACCAGCAGCATCGGAAGCGTTATCCTCAGCGACTTGCTGGCACAAAACCTGGCTCATGACAGCGGCGAACAGCAGAACGACGAAAGCGATTTTCTTGTTAGCGACCATTTTGTTACTTTAATTAATTTATTTAAAATTCGAGATTACAGGACACACACACACTTAAGCAAAGCAACGGCGACAGCGTTGAGGCACTGTTGAAAGTTCGTAAAATATTGGGTACCGATTTAACGTTGACAAGCGCTTTAATAGTCGCCGTCGCAGGGCACTCGACGCTCACATGTAGAATTTTTGACAAATCACGAAAAAGCGAAATTGGAAACGAAACCCCAAAAGCATAGCGACAGAAGAAAGAATTTGAAAAAATGTGTGTAAAAGAAATCATATTGTCACGACAAACCATATACAAGCCACCAGCGCATACACACACTATCCTACATGCTCACCTACATTGGTACAACACAACTATTTCATTCCGAGGTATGTGCATTCGTGTGCTAAAAAAACGTTGGCCGCGGTGCAAATGGTATGGCGCATTTCGCTTACCACCTTTTACCGATTTTTGGTCGAGCAGACAACAACAAGAAAGCAGCAAAAATTAAGCTTAAATGGCGTGTAGCAAGCTTGCGCGGCAAAAATGAAATTTTCATTGGCATTGCCATGGGCAAAGTCAGACCACAGTCGGTCAATGCGTGTATATGTGTAGATTGTGTAAGTGTACACTTTTATATTTGTAAACGAAAAGCTCTTCACAAATTTATTGGTCATAAATATGGCTAATTGACGCGATCGAATGCAATTTAACTGTCTCACAATGATTTAGTCATCGTCGCATACTTTATGCAAACGCCGAGTTCCCCATGGTTGAGTTGACTCTAGTTAACATACACACGTTATAACCCACATCCACCATTTTACAATGATTGTGAACTCTCAACAACTGAAGGTCTATTTCGCGTATATGCAGACGGATATGATCAAATAAACCATGCTCGTATTATCGTCGTTTATTTGTATACAAATTTAGTTTTACAAGCGATACAGCTTCGACCAATAAGTACCTTGCACATTCGTTGTTATTGAGACGCCGATACATCCTTAGGCAGTCACAGCTTGGTGTGCTTTATGGGCAGAGGGAGCCATAATAAAGTCACAGGGACAACAAAACCATCAATTTATTCAAGGAACCTTTGGTGAAGACATTATCTCTTTAACTTCGCTGGACTATTTTTGTGGGATTATGTGAGTCCCCTCCGCTTCGAGCCAGATATGAAATTATTTTAAAAACATAATGCCCTCATTTTTATAATAAAACTAAATTCTTGGTCATAACACTAACCCTCTTGAATAACAGCATGGATGGATTACCGGCCGAGCTATCCAAGAACGGCGGCAAAGAACTGAAAACATACACACATCAGATTTTTTGTAGAATATGGCCGGACGAAAGTATGTTCGACGATTGGAATTTAAGTGTGCTCTGCCCTCTGAACTCTGTCCTGTTTTTAATATCGCATATAAGGTCTTATCGAGCGTAGTGTGAGAAAAACTGAAACCCACCGTCAAATAAACTAACCATGCATAAAATCTTCGAAAAAATCCGTTAACGAAAGATCGACACACACCACCACTTCGTTCACTTTAAAGCAGCCCACGACAGCACCTAAAAGAACTGCCTTAATGCTGAATCCTCTTACAGCTTACTAGCACTCCATGTCCAAGAGCGTTCGATTCTGTACTTTCCACTCCTTTAGAAAGACCACGTAGAGTAGCTCCTGCTTACACTTGGTATCTCGAAAAGAATAATATGACAAAATATTTTGAGGACAATTGATATAAAATGAAGATGATGAATAGATCACACATATAGAAGTTTCAGCAGATACCATCAGGTAATAAGGACATTCGCTAACTTTTCTCCGTATTTTTTGATCCTAATAAGTCGGCACATCATACCCTGGAAAGGTCAATCATAAAAGTTATTATCAACAGCAACTTAAATCTTCAAATAATCAATATTTTATAGCAAAATATATAATTTCTATGATATTCGTATGCAGACTACGAACCCTCACGTACGTGACTTATGTTTGTTATGGCGGCGCATAGGGCTAATCGAGTTTATTACTTTTCAAACGATCACCTGGGAACACATATACATTCATAGCATATATGTATATAAAAATATTTGTTTCATTTTTGGCTACTAACGCTTTCGTTTTTACTTTTTCAATCAAATCAATATTCATAATTTTATGCAAATGTGAAAACAATTTAATATCGTGTTGTTGTTAAATTTTCATATTTAAGTACGGAAAAATTCGAAAGAGAAGTAGGTGCGTCTTTATTAAGGGGTTAGGGGCAGTCAGAGGCACGAAAAAATTATAATTTTCAGTGTTTTTTTCTTTGCTATTAAATCGTGTTATTTTAGAAAATTAGTAATATGGCATTATTATAGAATGTATTGACTTGAAGTAACGAAAATTTCAAAAAAAAATTTTTTTTTCCAAAGTTATAGTTGTTTGTGTTGACCCTGTTGCAAAAAAAAAGGTACTTGCAGTGACAACAATAAGTCCTTGGAGATTCATCTAAAATCAATCGGACGAAAAAAATTAGTTTTATAAATAGATAATCCTGGACCTGATCGAAGGATTCAAAATTAACAAATTGGCGGCCTCAGGAAAATTTTTTCTAAATTTTTGCAAAAAAATCATGTTCTTAAAAAATCCAAATTTTTGAAAAAAAAATCTTTCGAGCGGGCCCGAGTTTATTATATATTCTAAAAGCTGTATGTGTTAAAATCTACTGAGTAGTTTTCGAGTTACAGTTGTCACCAGTTAAAAAAATATAGTTTTGAGAAAAACGCGTTTAAAGTTTCACACTAGCGCTTTGAAGTGCCCTAGCTCTCTTTGTTATTTGTCGAATAACTCAAAAACTAATTATCGGATCAACGTGAAATTTTCAGAGAATATTTTTAAAATATTACAAATTTTTTTGAAAATTCTAACTACCCCTATCACTATAACTTTTCAAGTAATTTGGTGCTTAGGACGGGTGTGGATGAGAAAGACCATTGATGGTTGTGTGTAATTCAACATTGATGAAAAATTTCTGCACGTTTTTGGGAAAATAATCTTGTATAGAATACTTCAACCGTCGATAAAAATATTATAAGGTCGAGGCTATATTAATATTTCGTAGTTTACATACCATTTATTTCAAAAAGCATGCTGATTTTACGACTGATCGGTAGTTATATATTATTCTGAAAGTTAATAGACACGAGATCAAGCGATAAATTGTAATATTATTGATAATTTCATGATATTTAGGTTGTCCAATTTTGGCCTCATCGATTTTATGGAATCGGCATTCTTTTACTTTTCAAATGTATCTTATATAGATAAAGGCGAAATTTTTGGTCGTATTGGCATTTTTTCAACAATATGTTTGCAAAATATAATTGAATATAAAAATTAAATATAAAACATAATTCAATTTTGAAACGGCATCAAACTATTGCAAGTGTGGCTTAATTATTTTTTAAATATCAATTTTCCTTTCATTGTTTTAATTGAGAACACTTAATGCAAAACAAATGAACTCACACGAAAAGCATGAATCAACCGCTGTACGTATGTATGCATGCATATTGAAATATTTACATACGTATGCTAGTACATGTGTAAAAATATGTAGCGACGACTCGGCGCATGCCATAAAATGCATATTTGAATGCACAATTGCATACAAAATTAGACTGGCGCACACACAAACACACCGCTATGACACAAGCGCATATCAACACACACAGACATATTGGTATTTAGCTAGTTTATGTTCACGGACAGACATTTGAGCGCCCATATGCGGCAAACGGATATGTGCTCATCCATATACCTATATGTATATATGTATATACATATATACATGCACTGCACATAAACATTCATGTGCCATGTCAAAATGTTTGCAAGCCAATTACTTCATTTACACAGTGAAAACCGCAATTAATGCCGCACAATTGAAAGCTTTTACTCTGCATTTTCCGGCAACACTTGTTATTTATCAATGAATGATAGTTGTCGACTATTAACGGTTGGCCAACCACCAGCCGCTTTAGCGCTTGGTTTTTTCATATGCAAATTAAATGAGGAAGTTTTAGTCACAAACGAAATTGGAGTTTTATAGCTTTCTAAGAGCTTACTCAAGGCTATTTTTATTTTCCTAAAACAAAAAAAAAAAAAAANAAAAAAAAAAAAAAAAACACTGATTCGTAAGGATAGTCAAATATTTTTTATTTGTGAAATATAATCGATACAATAAAATACTGAATATAACATCATTCGAACTGCCGCCACGACATCTTCTTCAAGAAGGAATTGATGCACTCAATTTTCGAGTTATCAAGACCTATGTCATGAGTAGCACATTCAATATTGACTTCTAAAGCTTGAAGAGAGTCAATGACTTCAAATAACCCTACATGAAGCAGTCTACTGGTGTTAAGTCACAAATTCTTGAAGGCCTTTCAATGTCATAATTCCTAGAAATAATGTAATCACCAAACTTTCTCGCAATAATTCGGCTGTTGCACGTAGCCCCGTCTTGCTGAAACCAGATATTGTCATGATCAGCTTTTTCTAATTGCGTTCATAAAAAGTTTGTTATCATCGATCATATTCCTAACGCTCTCCATGGCCAGTAACGGTGAGATAAGCTTCTTTAAAAAAAAATACGGACTGGTGATTCCACCAAGACCAAGCTCAACTGATTACAATAGACTTCTAATGTATTTTCAGCGACTTTTCCACATTCTTTTGGTAATGGTATTACGGAAGAGACTTTCTTAGAAGCATTTGGTATGAATATATCGAGCCCTAAACGCCAAAAAGATGTAAGTACCATTATTATCAATTTTTGTTTTTCGATAAAAATCGATAGTTTTCGATTATTCGCATCATCTCACAAAATACCATAGCTATAAAATGAACCGATACGATTTTACAGCTAAAACAATTTAGATGTATGTATATATTTCGTTTGTTTACATATTTTGTTACAACGAAGTGGTGCTTACGTCTTTTTCCGATTCAACATATTAGTTTGGATTAGCGGCAAAATTGCAAAATATTTTACTTTTTATCAGTGATTGTGCAATATGGAATTGTGTTAACAAGTGGTAAGTGCACTGGGTTGTTTTTGT